ATGACCACTTTTACAGTCTCCACCACCTAATCCTGAAACTTGCTCTCACTCCTCTCACTTGCCAAAAGCTGTAACTGTTCTGTTCCCCAGAGCCAGCATCCCCTGTCAGTGTCACTTCTGGGACACCTCCCCTGCTGAGACCATGTGGCTGTGGAACAGAGTAAATGAACAGTCAATGCATGCATTATATATTTATTCTTTCTGTGTGTACATGAAAGGTGACAAAGCTCCAAGAGCTTCTCTGCCACGGTTTCCAACAGTGGAATTAGAAGTAATCGAGTTCGGCATGGGATCAGTGCCACCTGCCACTGCAGGCAGCCAGTGTGTGATGTTAAGGCCAGTCCTGCTTTTATCTTAGCTCGAGGTGTGAGTTGTTGTTTCCTCTGTTTCGTGTTTCAATGCTCTGAATCATACCTGGCCAGTGCAAAGTGACCCCCGGGCTCGGGTTAGATCCTTCAATGTATACTTTTGCCTGTTTGGAGGAAATTGAGCGCTATGAGTCACATCAGAATTCCCGAAATGAGAAGTGGAGATAAGATTTTCTGACTCCTGGGGTTCCATTCCAGACAGAGTGGAGACTGCCTTAGGCAGCCTTGAGAAATTCCAGCGTCTTTGTAGCAGTTGCATTGCCTACCTTATTCACACTTTATCAGACACAGAGGCTGAGGGATGAGTTTGTTTGGTGAAATTATCTTTTCTTCCCATCTGGACCTCAGGGAAAATTTGTGCCTGTAAACCCTTTGTCTCTTAATTTCTAAATAATTAAGTGTTGCAAGCTCCTCTCCAAACAGGAAACACCTTCACTACTGGCACTAAAACTGCTTTCCCCCCCTCAAGGCTGGATAAATCTCTTACTTTTCCTCTCCTAGTGAGTATTACTGTGGATGAAGCTGGAGGTTTTTCCACTATTTCAAAATTTCAAGTGCTTTTATGACTCTTTGCCTTGGCATAAAGGTCCATTTTACAAAGCACTTTGAAATAAATACTTATCAAGGTTTTAATTTAGGAATGACAAAAATATCTTCAAGGAGAGAGATGGAACTGGATTACTCAGAGGCACTTAAAGCTCTGGTTTTGTCTGTTGATATGTAAATGCAGATGCAATCTTCTAGATAAAGAACCAGTCTTTTAAAAATACTTGGGAAATTAATCTCTGTCTTTTTCTAAATGTACAAATGTACATCTATATACTCTGTTCACCTAGGATCTCACCACATTCTGTATTTCTCCTGGATTTGTGATTTCTTCAAGTTCAACAGAGTTTCAGAAAAAATAATTTTCCATGGCATTAAATTTTCTTGAGATACTGATCAAGATACTGAAAGGATGTGTCTCAAACCAAAACTTACAAATTTCCAAGAGAAAGGCAGACTCTACAAAACCCCTGTTTTAGCAATTCAGGGCCTCTTTGGAAAATTTTCCATTAAAACTTTGTCACAACGAATCAATCCACCACTATTTCTTATGTACCAAGTGGATGTGAAACATTGTTGATCACAAGAACTCTAAAACACCTTTTGGGTTTAGAAGATTGTAAAGATTTCTTTCTTCCAGCACCCTTTTTACAGTGGGGTGGGAATAAAACAGTTATCTTGGCCAGATAGGGGTCTTTGAAAAAAATGCCCTTTGAGTAGTGATTCTATCCCTTGTGTGCTCATTTAATGGTGATTTTAACTAAGCATTGTTTCACTTGTTTCCTCATAAGAATGTCTCATGGGATGATATTAAAAATCTTAATTATGACAAACCACAGTGCACTATTGTTTCTTTATTACTGACACGGCCTTGAGGCACAAGCCAGGTTGATCTGCCAGGAACAGATCAATCCTATCAATGTCAGCTATTCTTGACAGCTTAGCAGCCTTCTGCTGATTTTTCAATGGTTTTCTTTTCATTTTTCAATGTTCTAGCATCTTTTCTAGGTGCTCACGTGGAAGGCCCAGCTTCTAATTACCTTGAACTTTTCTGAGATACAGAGAGGCAATATTTGCTTTTTGTCCACCTTTTTACACCTTTTTTTCTCATAGTTAATTACTGTGGGTTTGGATCTTTTAAATGTAGCTTGATTGGTTATAACCGACCTAAATAATCTTCACTCCATAATCTGACCTGTTCTCTTTTCCCAATGCATGACACTATTGCAGTGAATATTAACTTTGCTTTATATAGAAAGAAATTACATTTGACATATCCTCTGTCAAATAAATAAATAGCAGACCTGGCTGGATTTTGTTGTTTTTATTCCTGATATGTTTATATAACCCTTTCTTACCCTTTCTGTCTCATAATGGCCTCTTAAATGAACCTTCCAACTGGAAAATTAATTGTGGCCACGTTATTGTCAATGCACTTCTGTTTGTAAGGGAAAAGAGGTGATCTGGAGTGTTCCCTAAAAAAAGCTGGGCTTTCACTTGTGCAAGGGAAAGTCTGGAGTGAACAAGAAGTGTTCAGAATTTCTAAAAATTTGTCTTTAGAGTCTCCTATTTTTCTGGCAGAGAGGAATTGTATTAATTTTAAGCAACTGTGTCTGTGCTTGTGTAGCATAAGAAGAGAGCAACAGCTTCATCCAGCTCTGGACAGCACAAGAAATGAGGATCTTACATTCCCAAATCAATTGGCAAAAGAGTAAAAAAGCAGGAATGTGAAATAACTTTGAGAAGAGAATAAATAAGTAACACAGAAAGCAGCTAAGGTCAGGCATTTTTAGCTAGCTTATCTCCAATTCAACCTAAGTAACTGTATCACAGGTATTTTTCCTGAAATATATATGAAGTTTAGCCTCCAACATGAGCTTTAGCTCACAGGTATCCCAGTCTCCCTGAAGTTTTTCAATGCCTCTGACTTTTAATAATGAGGTTTTAACATCTATTGTGAGGTTTTGAGTATGATTTTCAGGCTTTCTTTTTTCCCTGAAAAATGTTGCCTTCATCTTCCAGTACAGTACAGGGGAATAAGAATATATATTAAGAATATAATCAGTGGATAGCAGAATTCCCTGGGAAAAACCAAAAAGAGTCCCATGCCAGTGATGCACAAGGGAATGCAGCCAACAAAAAGAAGCAGTCTTTTTTTAGGCTGGAGTTTTTACAAGCATATTGCTTGTAGGCTTTGGTGTTTTATTATTTTCTGTAGGGCTTTCTTTATCTGCTGCAGACAAGAGGTCTCAGACAGCCCCTGCAAAGGAAGACTACTGTAAACTATGAAATAAGCTCTTCCTTCCTCCGGAGATTCTATTGGCAAAGGAATTCTGATAAAGTTTCCTCAGAGCTTTCTTCAGAGTTTTTGCCATGACAAGGATGAGTGCTTACCAGTAGGAAGCTCATTAAATGGTTTGGAAAAGGGAATCTCCAGGAAAAGGTGTAACATTTTCTGCCTCTTGGTGCCTTGGGGCATAAAAACTGTCCTGAAGTTGTCTATGAATTTTCTGTGCATATAGTTTTAACACCTAAAATTTTAGGAAACAAAACAAAAAATACCCACCCTGCCCTATCAAGACTGATTACCATTAGCTTGTAGTACAATAATGTTTACAGAACCCCTGTGAAATTAGGCCCAGTTGCATAATGTGATGTACAGGTGCATTAAAATACCAGCTTCTCTCTGTGTTCTCCAGGTGGTCAAGCCTCCCAGTGCAGAGGGGGTGGCAAACAGGAAGAGTTTTCATTCCCAGTTTGAGGCTAAATAAACAGCACTTTATTTATTTATTTATTTATCTGATGCTGCCTGGAAGCCTCAGGAAATCTGGTTCTTCTAAGCAAGGCTTGCCCAGGCCAGCCAAAAGCTAACCTTAGCTTTCCAGAGTTTCTTGATTGTCCATTTGTGTTTTTAGCTCTGCTAGTTCACACCTGATGGAAAGCATTCCTCTGCCTACAAATATTCAGTGGGTTGTCTATAATCCTCTCTCTTCAGTAACTGACTTGCTTTCTAAGATTTTGTTGCAATTCCTAGTCAGCTCTCCTGATTTTTAGTAACTAAGGATGTTTTAGAACATACTCTTTATTCTGTGCTCTTTTCTGAGATGATTTCTTTGATGGGCAGAGATCTTTGGCTACTTGACAGTTCTTTTTTTGTGTGAAAAAATTGGGCAATACCACTTGATGTTAGCTTGGAATCCAGAAGCCACTGCTTTTTATTCTGTAAGAACAGGCTGAGGCTCCAAAATCAGAGCTCCAACATGCACTGTATAAACTCTAACTGTACTTTACAGGTATGAAGTGGGTGCTATCCTATTGCTCAAGCAATTGTTGTGTCCTTTGCACGTCCTTTGCTCATTAAATCCCATCCATAACAGTGAAGCTTTATGCAGCAGTACGATTAATCAGGGTATATACTATAAATATGCATGAATTCCTAGTGTCCACCTGAAATATTATATGAACCTGGTGAGGAGCTGTAAACTGAGATCAGGACATTGAAGAATATGGTCCAAGGGATGCTTCAAAGCAAGGTCCACATTTCAAGCTTGGCTGCTACAAATGACTAATGAACTTGCATTGTGAAGAGTTCCAGCAATGCTGGGGCTGGCAAACCTGACCACAAATGAGAGCTCTGCACTGCTGAGATCCACAAGGAAGGATCCAATGCTGCAGTTTCCATTTTTACCCAAACTCGATTAACCAGCTTTAAGTGTTGGTGCCTTTCCTACCGAGAGACCGGAAGAACTGACACCTCCTTGCTGCAAAACGTTATGCCAGGCAAAAAAACTGGGATCTGCTTATTCATGCAATTAACTCAAGCTCATTGTCATCCTCCTCCTTGATATCCTGGAATTGTGTGTTTCTGTCAGTAAAAGTTTGTAGCTTGGCACTTTGTCAGCACAGTGTGTCTTTCTGGGAGGGCTGGTCTGGCAAGGGGAAACATCCGTCCTGACGTGTGCGAGGACCGGATCCTGGGATTTTCCGAGACTTTTTTTTTTTTTCCACGCGGAATTTCCCGTCTCGTGGAGGGCAGGCTGGTGGAGGGAATAAAAGGCAGAGAATGACAGGGTCCAGACACTTGGAGCTGAACTTGATTTTCAAGGCTGAGTTCATCCACTTAGCCACGGAAAGCAGTCTCTGGGAAGCAGCGCAGAGGAATTCTGTCACCTGGACACTGTGAGTAGAAATTCTGCTATTCTGTTTCACTGTACAGCTAAAGGAGAACTGGAAATCTGTGTTCATCTTCCTTAAAAGCTGCTTACATTTAAAAGTATCTTGATATTAAAAACTGGTTTAAAATGTGTAATTTCCTAGAAGTAGAAATCCTACTTAAGTCTTGTTTAAAAGTACGTAACAAAAATTGCATGGTCAGTAGTTTATATGGAATTTTGACAGCTCAGTATTTGTTTTTTACAAATGTGTTTCTTTGATTTCTTGTAGCCATCTGCTTAAAAGACAGAGAAAACTCTCAGAAACATGATTTGCTTGCAGTTCCTATCTCTTCTTACCTATGGTAAGTGTGTATCTCTCTGTGTGGAAAACTAGTGGCGTGACAATGTTAGTGTGACTGTTCTCTTTGAGCTCAGCATCAAACAGAATTTTTGAACCTGCCCTAATTTACCTGAGGCTGTGTTCACACAGAAAAATCTCTGGATGCAATGGCACATTTTCCCTGCTTGCCTATCGAAGCCATAATTGGCTCAAAAGCTTTGTGTGATCAGACATAGCTTCACAGGCTGAAGTCCCTGTACTTGAAGCTGACTTGCCTGGTTTGAAGCTTGCCAGGTGATTGTTTATGAAATAATTCTCACTAGTTTTTATGCATTTTCAGATACTGACAAGTTTGCAGTGTTTATAGAACTTAGATGTCCTCTTCTAGAGAGAGAGGAGGGGAGAAGTCAGACACCAACTTTTGTATATCTTCTCATTCTAGGACTTACAGTGCTGCAGGGAGTGAATGGCTGGACATACCATTATTCAGACACAAACATGACCTACAGTGAAGCAGAGCTGTGGTGCAGAAAGAAGTACACTAACCTGGTTGCCATCCAGAACAAGGAGGAAATCAAGCATCTCAATGCCTTTTTACCCTACAATCCTGGCTACTACTGGATTGGAATCAGAAAAATTAATGATGTGTGGACCTGGACTGGAACTAACAAACAACTGACAGAAGAAGCAAGAAACTGGGCTTCAGGGGAGCCAAATGGTAAAGGGAACAACGAGGACTGCGTTGAGATCTACATCAAAAGAGGGAAGGATGATGGCAAATGGAATGATGAGCAGTGTGAGAAAAAGAAGGTGGCCTTGTGCTACACAGGTACGGTGTGATAAAGAGCATTCCAGTGTCACCCTGGGGACACGAGGTGGTGGCTAGGATGAGTTGTTTAACTTCATCTAATATTTACCTCAGAACAAGTGGTCTTGGAGTTTCTAGCCAGCAGAATCCTTTCACTGTCAGCTAGTCTGTAAAAGGTGTGCATTTCAGAAATTCTTCTGTGAAATGACAGGATAATCCTAAATACCAAACCCTCTGATTTTCTTTTGCTGTACAAAGGGCTTGTTTAGTGTCAGAAAGATAAACAAAGTGCTAGCCAGGTTTTCTTAGTGGCTGTTGTTGATTCTTTCATAATTTGCTTTATTTTTTTTTTCTTCAGCTTCTTGCAACCCATCTCTCTGCAGTGGCCATGGAGAATGCATAGAGACCATCAACAACCACACCTGCCATTGCAACCCTGGGTTCTTTGGGCCTGAATGCGAGTTTGGTAAGATTATTTCATCCTACTTTTTGACCAACTCGTGCTAGCTAGTGCTCAGTTTGGCTTCTTGGTTTACCTGCTCAGCCAAAGAGACTCACTGGGTACCTTCTTGTGCTTCTTTGAAGTTAAGACTTGTGATCCACTGAAGAAACCTGATCATGGGAGCCTTGAGTGCCACCATCCATTGGGGGACTTCAGCTACAACTCATCCTGCACAGTTCAGTGTGAGGAGGGCTATGAGCTGACTGCACTGGAATCTGTTCAGTGTACCTCTTCTGGGGCTTGGTCTGCCCCCCTTGCAGCATGCAAAGGTGAGCTTTCTGCATTGTTCATTGTTTACATGGCCCTGTAAACCTCAGTGCTGCTCTGGCAGTAGGTACAAATGGAAGTTTGGCCAATTCCTTTGTTACACATCTCGTGGTGTGGGTGCTATTTTATTTCAGCACACAGGTCTCTATTCCTGTGAAGGTGAAATGTGTAGGATGAATGCTCTAGCCTTGTTCCTTGCAGGGAGGGACTTTTCCAATTCTTAGGTAGGAACAGGGGATTGAGATAACCTAGCTATGAGACAGGCCAGTTATCCTGATTGTAGGAATAATTTTCTAAGGTGTTTGGCTTAGAATGAGATATTTGTCTCAGCAAAAAAAAAGCATCAAAGATCACCCAGCAGCAGTCAAAACAGGGAAAGTTTGGATTGTAAATAGTGGCTGTCATGAGCTGTAGATGAATTAACAGTCTTGCCATAAGAGCCATAAATATTTTAAAATATTTCCCTTTCTGTCTGCTTTCTGAGATGATGGCATACTGGACCCCTTTCTAAAGCTGCTCCTCTTTAGTAGGTGTGTTGCCAAGTTTCAGAAAAGAAAAAAATTTTTATGGCTTGTTGCAAGCTAAGCTCTGTGCTGTCCCTTGTGCCTTTCAGCTGTGACCTGTCCTGCCTTGGAAATGCCTGCCCATGGGGCTGTGAACTGCTCCCATCCCTCTGTACAGCTCACCTGGGGAACCACCTGTGAGTTCACCTGTGAGGAAGGATTCACCCTGACAGGACCAGCTACACTGCAGTGTGGCTCTTCTGGGGC